TGGTATTGGGTGTGCCCATACGACTTGCTTTGGCCTGTGGAAAGAGGGCAGAAGTAGGTCTTCACCAAGGTCTCCAGATGCATCATGTGATTCTGCTCACTCTCCTGTGCCTCTGCCACCACCATGAGAAATCAATGAGGCACATAGTAAGACCTCTCAATAAATGGCAGCTGGTGCAGAACAAGACTTGGGGTGACACTGTAGTGGATTGAGTTATGTCCCCCCAAAACTTGTTGAAGCTTGAAATGTATCCTCCACGTTTATGTATCAGAAACTTAGCCCCCACTGTGACTGTTAAGAGGGTGGGAAATCCTACTATGGTAATTGAAAGGTGGAAACTCAAAGAGGTGATTGGATTGTAATCCCGTGCAGTAGTGAATGGATTAAAAATGGAGGTCAGGGGCATGGTTCTGAGGGCTTTAAAAGAAGAGGAGAGTCTGTCTCTCGCTACTCTCTCTGCTTCCACCATCTTGCAATGTGAGACCCCTGGGTCACTGTCACCACCATCAGTTGGACTTTGGACTTCCCAGCCTCAGAAACTGTAAACAATAAATTTTGTTTTCTTTATAAATCACCCAGTTCAGTGTATCTTGTTATAAGCAACAAAAACTGACTAATATAGACACTACAGGCTGAGAAGCCACCCTGCCTCAAGTCTTGGGGTACTTTCCTCCCTGCATACTCACAGAAGTTTCTTATGATTTGTGTGCTGGTTTTTAAGGCGGAGGCGAGGGCTGGCATAGCACCTGCCCCTGTTCCTAGAGATAGGGGTCCAGAGAGGTGCAGCCTCCCTCATAGGGCAGAAGAGCCAAGAATGGAATGTGATTTCCTGGGTGAGGTTCCATCCTGGGACTTGCCAGGTCAAGTTGTCTGTGATTAGCCTCGCCTTGCAAATTAGCACTGGCCCGTGCCCATGAGAAAATACTAACTCACAGCCTTTGAAGCCCACGGGAAGCACAATATCATGGGAAAAATTGCCTCCTGAAGGCAATAAGGAGTAGGTATGGGGGGTTTAGAGAGAGCTTGGGACATGAACTTTTGGCCTCAAGGCAACACTGGATACAATTTCATGTCCTGCATTCCACTGGTAGAGCTCTGCATGACATGGACAAAGTTCTTTCCATTGTGATTTCATTTTTTCATCACTGAAATCCATTTCTACTAGCACAGCAATGGAAAGATACAGGTAGCGGGTACAAGAACCTACACAGATTCTTAGAAAGGAAAAATAAATAGCCATAAACATGGAAAAATGGTCAAACTATTTTAAATCAGCTCCATGTATCATGAGATCTAAGTTACATTTCTTTTTATCCATGATGGGACCAACCTAGCACAGTGTTTATCAAGATTAAAAATAAGTAAACAAACAAGTTAAAAAAATAAGAAAAACTACGAATATTGAGAAAGATCTCCAGATTCCAGAGTTGCTCATCTGAGAAATTAGCCTATAGAGAGTACTATAAATGCAGAGAGGTGGGGAAAATTCCACTTAGCAGAATGTCTCCCAGAGAGAGAGAAGAGTTCTGTGTGTGGGAAGGAGCCTTTGAGAAGCAACATGGGATGAGCTTGCCTAAGAACAACAGATGGCTGCTCAACTGTTCTCTAATAAGGGCCTGTCTAGGTAATTGTAAGGGAATCAGGAATGCAAGCTTGGGGCCAGAGCAGAATTGCTGATTCCACCATCAGGGGCCTCTTCTCCACCCTTCCTTGACACAGGAACCAGTACCTCCTTTACATAAATGTGGCATATTTAAATCATATTACTTTTAAATCACCAAAATATCAGTTTATTTATTTCACCCATGTGACCTTCAAACTCTGAGTGGCTGGACAATTGTCCCAGGATTTGGAGAAACAACCTTGTGTGTTCAGAGCCACAGAGAGAACAAGACATGTCTTCCTCTTCTTTCTCCCAACATCCCAATACTATAGTTGCCTATGCTTTTTGCACTTAGGGAAACTGAGGGACAGGGAAGGGAAGTAGCAGAGATTCTACATTTCTGCATGTCCTAGAGTTCACTGGGGCAAGAAAGTCCCATCCTGGCTCCAGGCATAGACACCCTGAAGGCTGGTTTTGAGGATGAGGCAATCCTCAGAAATTCTTGTCCTGTGTTAGCTGGGCTGAGAGGCTTCCTTGTCAATCCTCTGCCCCATCTGTGGGCCCCCAGCATCTGGGAACTCTGTGGGCCCCTCCCTCCTCTGAAGTCAGGGCTCTGGCTCCTGACAGATCACAGAGCTTGAGCCTGCACTCAGGGCCATGGGGTCCCTGAGACGGGGAGAGGGAGAGAAAGGATACATGAAGCCCAGGGAAAGGGGGAGGGGGACGAAGACGGAAACTGATATCTGGAAAGAGGCAGGGACTGAAACAAAGGGAGAGGGAAGGGGTGGGGGAGAGAAGCAGACACAGAAATAAAATAGGGAAAAAGAAACAGAGAAGGGGAGAGAGACGAAGAGAGAGACACAAAGACGGAGGGACAAAGAGAGAGGCAGATAGATGGGCAGACAGACACAGAGAAAACCATGCTTTGCAAATGGCCAGCTGTGCTAGGTAGGGGAAAGAGAAGGCAGACAAGTGGGACACACACTCAGGTTCCAGGAGGGAAGGGCCCCTACATTCATTCATTCATTTATTCATTCGTTCATTCATGCCCTCTCTCAACAGTCCCTTGGGTACCACCAGCAACTCGGCAAGTTAGTAGCTGGGGAAGAAAATGCCAAAGGATTCAACAAATCAGCAAGAGTAGCTGGAGGATCAGCTCCTTGTACAGACACCATCCCCCTCCAGGCCCATTTACTGAAGCCCCCAAGTCAGAAACACAAGAATTGTCCACCTCACTTCTAATCAATGACCTCCTAAACCTCCCCCCGACTGCTTCCTTCTCCCCACCTAGATGATCCTGCAGCCTCCTAAATACCCCTAGTCCAAATCTGTGGCCAGAGGGATATTCGAAACATGCTACTCAGCACACCATGTCTCTGCCTAAAATCCCTTAGTAATCCACACGCCCACTGCACCCCCATTGCCCTCAAGATAAGTCCACAGCTCTCAGAAGTGCATTCTAGGTGCTTTGCCATATCGGGACCTGGCTGCCCCTCCTGCATTACACCCTGAGCCCCCATGCCCTCTGCCTTCACTGTCCAACACCATCGAGCTATTTTTATTCGCCAATCACACCGTGTCACTCTCCCCTGTGTCTCTGCCCAGCCATGGCCTCTGCGGGACACCCTCCTCTCTCTCCTTTGAAGTGAGTCCTATCCCATCTTCAGTGCTCACAGGCCAAGACTGAGGTAGAAAAAATATAATGTGCCCGTCACAGTGCTGGGCCCATTGTAGATATTCAAAAAGTGCCCATGATGATTAGTATTAATAACGCTGACATGAATATATTAATAATAATAAGGGTTATGGTGAAGGAATGCCCCGGGTACAAGGAGGATAAAGGGGACACCTGAATCTGCCAGAGACACTGCAAAGGGGGATTTGACCTGAGCTGGAGGAGCAGGTTTCTAGGCCCGTGAGCAAGGATAAAGGTGGGAAGGGGATGGGTGTCCCATGGACAGGATGTGCCAGTCTCTGGTGCGTTTTCAAACTACAGAGAGCTTATTATACCTGGAAACTAATGACCGAAAGTGGCAGCAGACCTGTGGCCCAGTGGGGGCTAATGGGGCAGGGCATCTACCCCTCCTTCTGGCAGAGGGTATGAGGATTTCACTAAGTTAAGCCTCTTTCTGCTGTAAAGGTGATGTGGGAAGGGACTTGGGGGTTAGCTGGATTGACTGATGCCGTTGGGGAGCAGGAGTCCTCTCTTTGCCTGTACCCCACCACCAGCCCCAAGCTCCCAGGGACAGCTCATTGTTCACTGCAAGGGCTCAGGCAGCAGGAAGTCTTTTTAAGCCCCTAATGAAAAGGCAGCTACACTCAAAGTCTCAGCTGCCTGTGACCAGCCCACAAACCCCTGCCTCTGTCAGTGGGACGTAAGGAAACATCGGATAACTAGATACAGCTTGGGGCAGAGGAATTGCCACAGAGGGTTTATGTTTTCTTTNATGAGGATTTCACTAAGTTAAGCCTCTTTCCGCTGTAAAGGTGATGTGGGAAGGGACTTGGGGGTTAGCTGGATTGACTGATGCCGTTGGGGAGCAGGAGTCCTCTCTTTGCCTGTACCCCACCACCAGCCCCAAGCTCCCAGGGACAGCTCATTGTTCACTGCAAGGGCTCAGGCAGCAGGAAGTCTTTTTAAGCCCCTAATGAAAAGGCAGCTACACTCAAAGTCTCAGCTGCCTGTGACCAGCCCACAAACCCCTGCCTCTGTCAGTGGGACGTAAGGAAACATCGGATAACTAGATACAGCTTGGGGCAGAGGAATTGCCACAGAGGGTTTATGTTTTCTTTACTTTCTTTTTTTTTTTTAAATCAAGTTAAAATTTTAGTAGACAACATCGGATAACTAGATACAGCTTGGGGCAGAGGAATTGCCACAGAGGGTTTATGTTTTCTTTTCTTTCTTTTTTTTTTTAAATCAAGTTAAAATTTTAGTAGACAACTGACTCCACTAATGATCAATTGATATTCCCCAACACTAGAGTATTAAAAAATACAGGGCAAAGATGAATTTTTGGAGTGTTGTGGGTCTGGAAGTTAGAATACTGGTTCTTGGTCTAGGGCCAGGGGTTTCAGCTCAGGCTTTGCACTGGAATCTGCTGCAGCTTTTAACAAATACAAGATTCTGATGGTAATGGCCTGGGGTGCAGCCTCAGTGTCAAGACTTTAAAAGCTCCCCAGGTGATTCTAATGTGTAGTCAGAACCCACCCCCACTTTGACTTTGACTAAGTAGCAGACTGTCCTGGTTACATGTCAGTTTTAAAAAGATGTATATTTTACACCACAGCATCACACATATTATCTCACAAACATTACCTTATTACTTTTTTTGGAAAATCTGAGTTTAGTACTGACATTCCCATCCTATAGATAAGAAAATTAAAGCTCAGAGAGGTGAAGAATCTTGCCCAAGTTCCCACAGTTGATAAATTTCAGAGTGAACTTTCAGACTGAAAGTCTGATTTCCTGACTCCATCTGAAGATTAAGTTTCCCTTTCTCTGTGGTTAGGAGGATGAGTTATAACAAAGAAGGCAAGTATTTGGTGTAGAGACCACTGTTTTCCCTTCCACACTTTCAACAGGCATCACTACTACATTAAGGTACTTTGTTTCTGCGAGAGAACAGAACCTCAGAATCCTTCTTAACACATCATTCCAAAGCAGGACTTCACTGGAATTGACACATAAGAGATGAAACCACTCTGGATCCCTGAACTAAATGATCCTGAAGGGACCCTTCTATTTATGATGTTCAGGGATTCCATGAGTGCCAGGCCTGGGTTCAAATACTGATAACAGCATGCAAACCCTCAGCACGAAGTCTCATATGTAACAGGTGCTCAACAAATGAGAGCTTAAACCCAAACTAAGAATTCACAAATATGTAAAAAGCTGGGATTCTAAAGCAGATCCCCTGCACCCTACTCCCATCAACTCCAACTCCTGTCCCTCTTCATCCTTCTTGCCTTCTCTCCTGCCCCCTGCCCAGGCTCTGCCTCCCTCCTGCTTTTCACCCTGAGAAAGAGATGCCCCTGGCTCTCCCTGAGCATGTTACACGTATTAACTTATTAACCTTTACAACAGCCTCATAAGGTACATACTGTTATCTCTCATTTGTACATGATAACACAGGATCAGAGAGGTGCAGTAATTTCCCAATGTCACACAGCCAGGAAGTAGTTCTTAGTGGGTCTGCAGACACAAAAGACCATGGCCAAGGGCTGCTCCACGTGTAGATGTAAAACCCCTCACAGGCAGAGTCTTTGGTTTCCTGATATCCCCCACTATGCTTAGGAGAGGGCTTCACGCCCAATGGGCATTTTATTCATGATTTCTGGGTCCTTGGTAAGAAACCCCAGGGATTTTTTGTCTGTGTGATAAAGTAAGAAGGGTGTGTGTTTTGAAACCAGAAAATTCTAGGGTGCAATCCCTGATCCACCCACTGAAGAAAAAATCGTGTGGCTTTGGGCAAGCTATTTCTCCTATCGAAGCCTCAGTTTTCATATCTGGGAAATAGCATCATCATTCTACCTCCCAGGGTTCCTGTGCAGGGTTAAATAAGAATGCAATGCCTGGCACAGCTCTTGGCACCTAGTAGGTGGCCAAGAGAACATATATGACAATCTGAACCTACATGAGGTGGCTGGCACATGGTGCTCCATAAGTGCCTGTTGGAAAACCAAACTTAGGAAATGCACCCAGAACACAGTGTTGCTCAGTAAGCATCTGTAAATGGAAGGCAAATAAAGCACGCTGTACCACAAATATCTGACTCAGGGTAGATAAGATGCCTGGTGAATGGTAGGTACTCAATAAATGTCCCTGAAGTGAACGTAGTTACTGTACCTCTCTGCACAGCATAGAGTTGCTGGTTAGTAAATGCCTGTGGTGAGGTACTCAGCACACAGTAGGTACTCAAGGAATGTTTGTGGTGACTTAAGTGGAGGAAAGGTACCGGGTGCATCATAGGTTCCTGGTAAATGTCAGTTATTGAACTGACGTACTCAGCACACAGTAGGTACTCAAGGAATGTTTGTGGTGACTTAAGTGGAGGAAAGGTACTGGGTGCATCATAGGTTCCTGGTAAATGTCAGTTATTGAACTGACGCAGGTGAGGTACCCAGGACATGACACTCAAGAAATGTCTGTGGGATATAAAGAAAGGGAAGGTACCAAGCACATAGTAGGTCTCAATAAATGTACCTGGGTAGGCTGAGCGGCACACAGGAGGTGCTCCGGAAGGAGTATTGCCATGCCCGCCTGGTGGGGACCTTCCCAAGCCCTCATTCCTCCTCTCTGTCTCCTCACCTTTGTTGTAGAGGGAGCCATCGAAGTAGTAGCTGCCAGTGTAGAAGCCGGTGGCCAGCTCGATGAGGTGGCGAGCCCATGTGTTGCCGGCGCCCGGGAAGCTGGCCAGAGCAATGAGCTGCTTGGATTTGGCTGGCAGGAACCTTCTGTCCATGCAGCGGTTGTCTGCAAAGGGCAGGGCATGGACAGGGGTCAGTAGCAGGACAGACAGAGCTTGTTCCAAAGGGACCGGGTAGGAGTCCCACCCCTACCACTTCTCAGCTGTGTGACCCAGCACACAGGACAAAAGTGTTCGCTGGCCTCAGTTTCCCCAGTGGGGGACATGATTCCTCTCTCACAGGGTCAAGGTAAGGGTTAAATGAGATAATATAGGAAAAGGGATAAACACAGTGCTTAGCACAGAGCTGGGACTTAATACAAGTCAGCTAGGAGGATGAATCTTCTCCCTAGCTTCAGTTTTCCCCCAGCAGAGCAAGCAGAGCAAGCCTTTCACATTGACCTCCGCCCTTTGCTCCAGATTGAAACCCTCAGTGGCATCCATCTACATGGGATCCCGCCCGAGGTTCTGATCTTGGCCTCCGAGCCTGGCGGGGCTGGCCCTCGCATACTCCCACTCATCCATCC